TCAGCTTTGTACAGTCTTAGGTAGCATGTCGTAGGGATGGCCGGATGGTTTCAACTTGGATCAACATCAGTTAACACATTGACGACCGCTTGACACAAATGGTATGTCAAGCAATCACTACCGTGTGAGGCCGTGTGTCAAGACTTACTTCGTAAAACTGGCGACTATCTTGGAATAAACTCACTACAAGAGTTCTGTATTGCACTGCATGTATTGTAGATAAACGTAATCGTGATTTGACCAGAAAATGGTCTACTATGTGGAAGGCCTCAATTCCAAAAGGCAGACACAATGTGTTAATAAATAATAACGCGTTGCACTTCATTGCTGTTGCCACGCAGATCTTTTGGCAGTATGACTCGAAACGAGTAATCATCTCGTCTTATTATACAAGACAAACAACAAATAATACAGATAACACGCAAATGTGAACAAATCTGTAACCTGTGATTCAGCTGCATTGGCGGCTGGAAAACTTGTGGCCTAATTAAGGCCGCTCGCTCCCGCGACGCGAACTGCGTGCTCTCCGACCATTCCCTAGCCTTGACTAGGCCACGAAGCCCCGCCTTCCGGCCGCCAATTTAAGGCTTTGGCCATACTTCGCCCGTGTTGCCGGTGTTGAAAGTGTTGAAAGTGTTGCCAGTGTTGAAAGTGTTGAAAGTGTTGCCGGTGTTGAAAGTGTTGAACGGAGATCATCAGTGTAACAGTTTCATTCTTTCTCGAACGATCTCACCGGCTGGTGAATACGTTGGAAATGGAATTGGGGAAGAGAAATGAAACTGAAATGAGATGGGGAATGTTTTCGCATGCAAAAGATCCCCAAACAAATTCTTGAAAAGTGGACGGCTTGTCTGGAATAGGAAAACGCTGCAGACCTCACTTAGGTCCTTTACTCACTAATCGCAAGCGCGGCAGGATTCGAACTAAAACACATTACTACTCAGACGTCAGCTTTCCCAAATATTGGAGATTGCCTATTCCAGACAAGCCGTCCACTTTCCAAAAAGTTTGTTTGAGGATCTTTTGCATGCGAAAACATTCCCCATCTCATTTCAGTTTCATTTCTCATTCCCCAATTCCATTTCCAACTTATTCACCAGCCGGTGAGATCGTTCGAGAAAGAATGAAACTGCTAGACTGATGATCTCCATGCAACACTTTCAACACCGGCAACACTTTCGACACTTTCAACACCGGCAACACTTTCAACACCGGCAACACGGGCAAAGTATGGCCAAAGCCTAATTGAATCAAAGGGAACAAATAAAGCTGATTGTATGTTTGCCTTTGTGCATGTATCTTTATCTTTATCTTTATCTATTACACCCGAGGTGCGAAAAATGAGTAAAAGCACAGACCAACCTAGCCACACTGCATAGAAAGTAATAAATAAGAATATTACTACACTCAAACACCTCAGACCCATTCAACGGTATAAAACGGAACAGATCTATACTGCATAAGGGCAATACATGTATTTTAAACGTTATCAAGGCTCTAATCTGAGGGCATTCTTGGAGGAATTACATTAAGCTCAAGATAACGGAGTATAATGGGATGTAACCTATCACTTTCGAGTGGTACGCTTTGGCGGATAGTACCCAGGCGATATGGCGAAATCCATACGTACCTAGGAATGTTTCAACTACCCGACGCCCCCACTACCTCCGTGTTGAGCGGCATGCAATAAATTCAACAAGAATGCAAGATCAGAGATATTGGCAACGTAGAAGAAGAAGTAATATGTATGTTTTGGATAAAAATCTTCATTTCTAAAGCGATCCAAACCAAACTTGGCACTCATAGACTTCGGGGCGGGGAAGATGTTGTAGGCTACTTTCCGTCATTGATCGATGTCGATTTTATCTGTTTTTTGCAAAGTTTACCTACGAGTCTGGGTTAGCGAGACTGAGTGGGCATGCTGATTACGAAAATAATTTTGACAGTGTCGGGTGGGACCTGTTTTGCCAGCTAGTTCTAAATATTCTAGATATGTTGATGATAGAAGTGAGACCAATGATGGTACATGAACTCGTGAGTGGAATTGTATTAGTGGTAGACTAAAGCTAGACGATTACTTCATACAACTCTTGCATTACCACTAAACTAATGACTGTAGTACCTGTATCTCTTATTCCCCCCTCCCCCTCCCACTGTCGTCAATGCAAAGCTGTCATTTCAAAAATTTCCAAAAACCTCTGAAATTTTTCTAGAAAGTAAGATCCGTTGATATACGCTTCGGGACTTCGTGTAGGGCAGTAGAACAGCTTTTTGAGAAGAACGGAGAAAAAAGCTGTCATGTTACGCCCAGCGTATTTTTCTAAACAAAGCTCATATATAATACTGCAATGCTATATGACCTGCTAACAGAGTTCCAACTTTGAAAAATAATTTTTTGGGGCAAGTTCCGCTCTTAGGATCACCCTCTTCAAAGTTTTTGCCTCAATTTCAAAACGATGAAGAGTTTGTTTTATAAGGCGCCCCAAAGTTGAATCAATTTCTGCAAGTTACAACCCAAAGGTCCGCTAAAGCTGATGATACAGATTGAGCAAACTTTGCCAGTTGTGGACTACATGCATGGTGACACAAAAGTATTTTTACACTGTTAAATCGTCAGTATCTCTCTTCCCACCGAGACCTTCGCCGACCTCGATCAAACATTCTGTAAAGCTAGCTTAAACTCAAATCCACAGTATGGAACTAATCAATGATGGGTCCTCATTACTGCAGGGAATTCGAGCAGGGCCCGGCGCGGGTGGCGCTTTCACAAGCTGGATATCGTTTTTGGCCCGAAAAAGCAAAGGGGAAGTCGTATTATGGGGTCCGGGCGGAGGCCCGGACCCTAAAACCGATAAACAATGCACATATCATTCTTTATTCATTCCTTTTGATGCTACTGTCCTATGAACTTAGATTCCAGCAATGTGAAGATTCTGTGCTCCGATCGCTAGCCTGCCCGCAGGCGAGGATTGAAATCGCAATTCTTGTAAGAGGAAAATAACAAAATAGGCTCGTTTTCAATGCACAAGTAACGATATGGCACCAAATTTGCTGTGTAGTTGGAGGAACATGAGCACAAAAAAGTATGAACAATTATGAGGAACTTATGTGAATTTAAAAAATGGTAAGTGTTTTTCGAAATTAGGTGGCTCCCGCGCCACCTGGGAGCCACCTGGGGTGGCTCCCTGCTTCCCTTCACATAACTTCCCGGATTTCTTTACATAAATGTGGACTAGGTCGAGAGTATTACTATATGTTCAAATCCGCTTCCAAAACCACCAAGGCACCGCTTCGATACAGCCCCAAATAGGGTTCACAGCCTTATGATCGGCCTCGGAAAGCGCGCTCCAATCGCAATCGGTTATTGTAAACTGTAAAGTTTCGCAGCTGACTAATAAATGAGTAGTATCTTAGATATATAAACGTCAAAGTTTGTGTAAATCTTGACCCTATGTTTTTTATAGATTCATTTGCGGATGAACCCATTGAGCTGAAACCTTGATGACCCGGGCTGGACCAGGAAACCCAGGTAGTACTACTTTAATAGGCGCTGAGGCCGCCCATCTTATCATTTGTGTATATCTGTTTGTCAGGGGCTTACGGGGGTCAAAAATAGGGTCAAAGGGGAAGTCGTAAGAAAAATTGGCTTCAAAGGGGATATCGTTTTCAAAATTCTGAAGTGCCAACCTCCTGCCGGGCCCTGAATTCGAGCCGTTAAAGGAAAGAGACTTTTGTATCAAAAAGGAACTCAATTAACCAGGAAACTTTTACATTAGACTAGCTGTTCTCGAATATGAAGCTTGCACTTTACTTTGCTTCCCTCATAAGTTATGCAAGTGTATATACCTCGATAACTGTTTTGTGAATGTTCCATGAAATTGTGATTACACTTTTCAAAGCTCCATAAACTCAAAAAGTTAAATAATGAAGCCAGCTTGCGTAAATACATCTGTAACAACTGAATAAGTTTCAAACCTTTTTTTTTTGAAACGGTAGCATTCCACAATGGCGCTGTATGTTGGAAGTTCCTAGTGTAATAACTACGACAATCAAAAGGGATCGTTGATTCGCTCCATACTATAGATTCTAGTTGAACCCAGCTTTACAGAATCTACCCAAAGGTTGGCAGTAGACTTTGTGGGAAGAGAGATATGAACGATCAAACAAAAATCTAAAAAATAAATAAATGTGTACGTAGTTTTGGGACACCCTGTATGCAAGTTTAGCAAAATGTCGTTATTCTGCCCTCTGCCGCTTGCCAAGCTTTTCTGCCTCACAAAATTTTCCAACTTTCACAAGCTAGTGGCTTCGAAAGTAAGCTTTGTAAGATATATGTTTCAAAATTCTATGTTTTATTGGGGGAGATAAAGCTTAATTTTTTGTAATTTTTGTGCATATTCAAAATATTGGAACTCCTACTGATTATAGCGTGTGTAGACTTGCGAGCTATGTTATAGATCATTTTTCTATTCAGATTTCTCCTCGAGGTTTTTTACAATGGAGTGAGCTGTGCATCCTGTATAAGCCCTGTTGTTTAATAAAGAAAAAAGAAATCAGCTTGTAAGTGTTTACCTTGCCCTTGCATCTTTGGCTTCCACGCCATCGCGCATACGTTAACGTGTTTTTCTCTTCTATCACATAAATTTTTTCGACGTACGGCAAACGTGACGCGAAAGTGAAATTCAAACAGAATGAAAGCATGCTTAAAAAGCGTGACCATGGCAGTTTTATTGTTCCCTATGGTCAAATGCAATGAGCGAAATGTCACAAAAAACCCTTATTGGATAGCAATAGACGTCGAAACCACTAACCTTTGGTAATATAAAAGAGAAGGAGCAAGAGGCTTTTCCAAATTCACGGCATTAGCACTGTTTTCGCCTTTCAACTTCCTTTCTCATAAAATAAATTTCTTGATATAATTACAAATGCGTTACGCGACAATTTTGCTCGCCGTCGCGGCAGCATGCGTTTACGGCCAATCCCAAAGTTCCGGGTATGAGATGGCTGAGCTGACTCAACCTGCACCTCCGGTTCCTGTCAGTGCAGACGGTGGTGATCAGCAAGCATACAATACGGACGGTGGCTCAGCAGGAGCTTCTGCTGCACCTTCTACTGGAGGATCTCCGCCCTCACCTCCGCCACCTCCTCCACCACCTCCTCCACCGTCATCACCCGCTCCTGAGAGCTACCCAAGCTCTTCAACTCCTGCTCCAGTTTCAGAGGCATCTAGCGCGGGAAGTGGAGACACTTCTGTTGGAGTGGTAATTGACACTTTCGTTTCATTAGTCACTCACTATCCCAGAAATCGTAAATTTTCCAGACTGGTGGAGACAATAGCATCGGATACAGAAATCGCAGACGTTTCCGTCACCGTGTTCGTCGCGTTCGTCTATGAAGCTTCTATACCTGATTCTCACATAATCTTCTGTTGCATAATCAGATCTCTATTAAATGATGCATACCGTGGATCGCTTCTAGTGACGATTAATGGTGAAGGGCTTAGTCGCCAACCTTCTGTAACAAAAAACCTCCCATCTTTGCAAGTTGCTACAGGTTTGAGGAATTACTTTATAATGAGTGAGTTTCGCCGGCAATCCCGGCCTTACACAAAATGGCAGATATGTTTTCGATTCAGTCCAAGAACACCGCCTATAAAAATACTCAACAGAGTCCACATAAAAAAGAAGACAGTTTGAAATGCAACTGTCAAGACTGAAGCTAGATCACATAATTTCCTAATGCTTGCGCCTATACTGTTTACTAGACATGCTAGACGATTGCAAAAACAGAAACCCATTTTCGGTACAACAAACAACGGCTATATATCAAAGTTTCCCGCGTCTACCCTTGCCAGACCTTGAATGTTGCAATGCCTTCTTGATCTTTGGCCAAAACCGATAATGAACGCCTTAACCTTGCAGTGAATTAGCAATAATCACCCGTTCAAATTTATTTCTAAAAGTTGACGGCTATGAAGAAAAGTAAAAAGTAAGAAAATTGGAAGAAATCACAGGATTTAAGTGGACGAAATCAAATTTTTATTAGGTTACACAAGGCAAAGAGCATATACGCTTACGATTGATTATACTCTGAAAAAACATTTTGCTTTCCAGCCATACCAACAGAATTCTAAAAGTTTATGTTGAACGTGGCAATATGAAGTCTTGGCGAAGTCCGTCGTAGTAGAGCGGCCCGACGTTTCGAGCAATCGGCATTAATAATAATATTACACTATATAAATGCCGAGGTTCAAAGAAGAGAGGGCAAGCAAATGATTTATTTGTTTTTTTTTTGTTGCAAGCATAAATTTACCAGAATTATGTTTACTTAAACATTTATAAACAAAAGAACTGTGTATGCGAGATAGTATTAGGTTGGCTAATCTTTTGGCATGAAAATCTAACTATTCTTGTTGTTTTTATCCATGATCTACTGTGAGGAAGTTATTATAACCTCTGAGCACATAACTATTCAAAAAACTTTTTTTATCAGTAAGGGGGAGTTATGTCCCAACATGGCTAAAATCAAAAGTTCAATTCTGCGACATTCTAAGCTTCGTTTTCAGGCTGTAGCGAATGTAGAGGACAATAATTTGGTATGAGTACAGAACGATTTTCCCTGTTTAGCGAATAATAATAATGATTGTGACCATTTCAAGATTCTTTAACCAAAAAACCACAAAGGGACATTGTTTTTGTGGCCGAAAGAACACAACTTGGGTAACGTTTTTTAAATTAACGTTTTGTATTCTTTTTGAGGTTTTTACGTTTAGGACTTAAGGTCAAAGGAAAGGGAACTTCTAAAATAATGCAAGGAGACTTCGTTTTTTGCTCGGAGAGCCACCTCGTGCCGAGCCCTGTCTGCGGACGATGAGGAATTTAGGGTTTCTCATATTTCCACAGATTTCTTTCATTGGATATCAAATTTTACTTAAACAAAATTTATAATCTGATTTCAATTTGAAGTGCTCTTTCCAGGGATACTAAACACTAAACAAAAGTTTGACTGCAACATTTGTAAGAGCCGAAATTAATCATTAGCCAACTCAAGAGAAAGCTTTCCAAGAGTGAGCGCGAAAATTAAACTAGGAAGCGGTTTCCATAATTTCTTTTTCGTAATTCATCTTGAGTAATTTTACAATATTGCTAAGTATAAATACCAAGACCTAAATGGAATCTTCAACCCAGATAAGGTTACTCAACTTGACACCAATTACGGTGGAAATTTCACGCACGAATACATAAAAGCATAATCACCTAGTAACCTTTACTGCCTTACCAAACCGCAAATTTTCTGAACCACTTATTGGAAAATTGGACTGCTATCAGAACTGAAGTAAACAAGGCAAATGGTTACGTTTGCCTCATTCTTGTGTAACCGTTTAGGTTTCCACTTTCACATAATTACGACAAGTAGAAAAAGAAAGTCGTAATCATTGTTTACATAGCTGTAGTCTTTTTTTCTAGTCTCACCTCGCTAAGGTTTTCACCTTCCATTACTTCTTCGATCGCAAAGAACTTGCACTACAACTGTAAGTTTCAGTAACATTGCAAAAGCGTTCGAGATCTCCAAATTACAAAACTTTTTGTTTATTCTGTGCTAAAAACACATGAGCTTGCTACAAGTTCTCACAAACCGAGCCCACATTTTACTGGATTACGTTACAGTTCGAAAAGTAAACTTGTTTTGTGGCAGAAAAACAGACTACTGGCATTGTAGAGACTGGATAGAGTTTGCGACCGAAATTAAGGGCAAGGGCGATAGTGATGACGGTAAATGTCCAGGATCTTGTAAGTGACTGTATGTGTCAGCTATATCCCTTACCTCCAAATCCACATCCAGATGCCAAAAAGGGTTACTGAGAGAATGATGCGTAATTTAGTTGTTTACTCGGTGAGTTACTCAAATAAATCAGGTCACCCTCCCTGACCAGTAATTACCTCAGCGAATAATTTCGATCAAAGGCACATAATAGAAGTAGAGAAAATCACGCAATACAGGGCTTCTGTAGTAAGAATGCTGTAGTAAAGTTTCACTGACGCTTAGAGATTGAGATTGCCAGTCGAAAAGAACAAGACTTTTTACTACTTAAGCTATATGGGAACAAAAGTTATTGGTTCAACTCAATAAAAGGTCTTCAAGGATTCCCAAAACAAACTGTATCTTACTGTGACTTGCAGCAAACTTTTCTGAAGAGCTTTGAATCTTAATGGCAACTTAACCCCGCCAGTGAGAAGCGCAACATTAGTTAACTTGGCCTTCGGGTGTGTAATTGTTCTCGCTGGTCGATGGTTACGCCCGACATGTCCAAAAAGTTATTGGATCGGAATGGATAGTAGAACCGTGAACCTTTACATGTATATAAGGGGTGGCGCTAAGCACCATCATCACATTCACAGCCTCCTCCTCCTCATCAAGAATTTTAATAACCTCTTTCTCAATTTGCTTCCTTCTGACTGCAGTTCACATAATACCACCAATACTTTGTTTTCAGATGCGTGTCGTAGTGTTACTACTAGCATTCGGTGCGGCGCTCGCCCAATATCAGTCCCAGGATTCCGGCTATGAGAATGCCGAGATAGTCCAACCAGGACCAGCCGTACCTCCAACTGCCGATGGTGGTGACCAGCAAGCGTACAACTCTGATGGCGTATCCGGAGGAGGTGGCGGATCCGGTGGAGTACTTCCACCAGCTCCTCCTCCTCGCCCAGCACCACCACCACCACCTGTGCCATTACCTGTACCACAACCAGAACCAGCACCAGGACCTGGACCCGCTCCTGGACCAGGACCAGCACCAGGCGGAAACTATGGAGGATCTAGCGGAGGCGGCGGAAGCGGTGGTGGTGGAGGCAACTACGGAACTGGACCTGCACCGGGACCTGGACCCGCACCAGGACCTGGACCCGCACCCGGACCTGGACCTGCACCCGGACCTGGACCCGCTCCTGGACCTGGACCTGCTCCTGGCGGTTACGGAACTGGTCCCGGCCCAGCTCCTGGACCTGGACCCGCACCCGGACCTGGACCTGCACCCGGACCTGGACCCGCTCCTGGACCTCGACCTGCTCCTGGCGGTTACGGAACTGGTCCCGGCCCAGCTCCTGGACCTGGACCCGCACCCGGACCTGGACCTGCACCCGGACCTGGACCCGCTCCTGGACCTGGACCTGCTCCTGGCGGTTACGGAACTGGTCCCGGCCCAGCTCCTGGACCTGGACCCGCACCAGGACCTGGACCCGCACCCGGACCTGGACCTGCACCTGGACCTGGACCCGCTCCTGGACCTGGACCTGCTCCTGGCGGTTACGGAACTGGTCCCGGCCCAGCTCCTGGACCTGGACCCGCACCAGGACCTGGACCCGCACCCGGACCTGGACCTGCACCTGGACCTGGACCTGCTCCTGGTTACGGAACTGGTCCCGGCCCAGCTCCTGGACCTGGACCCGCTCCCGGACCTGGACCTGCCCCTGGTCCTGGCCCAGCACCTGGATACAGACCCGCTCCTGGACCTGGACCCGCACCCGGACCTGGACCAGCACCCGGACCTGGACCAGCACCTGGACCTGGACCTGCACCAGGTGGATATGGAGGATCCGAAGGAGGCGCTGGGGGATATGGAGGCTCTAGCGGAGGCGGAGGAAGCGGTGGTGGACAAGGAGTGAGTCAAGTGCTTTATTTTGTCGTTTTAATTACAAACTTACTTTCCTATTTTAGCAATATGAGTCTAACGCAAACTACAACCGAGCTGAGCAATCTCAAGCACCACCAAATCCACCTATCAGTGCTGGAGGTAACGATGGATTGGGGTACAGCAATATGCGACGTTTCCGCCTTCGTGTACATCGTGCTCGTCGTTTTTAAGTCATTCATCTCTGAAGAATCTCAAGGCATTGCTCTTTCGTGGATTAGTTTTTGTCTAATAAAATTTCCGAATTAATCTCTCACAAATTGGGTGCGTTTGAGAAATTCTTGGTAACACTAAATTTCGAGACGAGAAGATCCGCATTCATTATTACTGAGTCAGAATGGATCTAGAATTCTGGAAAAATAACAGCAGGAGTCAAAAATTCGTGAAGTGTAGTTGAAAACGATGCAACAAAAGATGACTAGCGCCGCTAATGCCGGTGTTGTTTTGGAAAGATTCCTGCATCAACAGTGGTTTTTCTAGCTAAAACAAGACAAGCTCAGAATTCATAAAAGCATTACATAAAAACGCACGATAAGCGAGCTACAGCTGACAAAGCTTTTAGTTTAGCTGTTGCCTGAGCATCAGTTATCTTTTCTCAAAAAGTAGTGACTTTTAAGCAAAGACAAGAGGAATTTAGTCAATTTTCATTGACATTGGATGAGAGCAAGCTTGTTTTGAAACTTATTGATTGTTCAGTCTTCTCTAGCTTTGTGTATACCACCCTCCAAAATTCTGGGATTTTCCTGAAATAATAGCCTTTATAAGGGTAAAATTCATTATGGTTCCGTACCCTAATAATTTTACTCCTTCCAGTTTGTTTGTAGTCGATGCCGCAGTTATGAGCTGCTGGTCGGCGATGTTTCTTACAGAAAATTCCATGACACAAACATTCTATCTGTTGTTCTGTGAGCCCAAGTTTTCGATGACAAAACTGAAAAGGCTGATAAGCTGATGCTGCCAATTGACGTCACATTTAGCAGTTCATGTTCCTGACCTGACAAGCCGTCTTCGTGGACTTCTTTCTCGCTTCCTTGATTTGGAGTAATTCTTCCACGCTTGAAGGAGGCAATGACATAGGAGACTGTAACAGCATCATTTCCTCGACCGATTCCGGCGGATCGAAAAAGAGCTGGAAAATTCTTTTCCCACAAAATGGATGATAAAATGTTGAGAACTTGGCCAAACCTTCATATGCCTGTCCGTCAAGAATTTATCTGGCTCATAAGTTTTCAACGGCGATGGCGTAGGAGCTGGAATGTTGGGCGAAGTTGGAGAATTTGGTGATATACTCAAAGATTTCTGTTCTGTGACAATTATTCTGCATTCGTAAATACCTCGAATGTGATTCTGGTGAAGGGACATCCGTATCCGAGAGAAGACGAGTTTTTCGTTGCCGGACTTTGCGGAGAAGCCTCTAAAACTAGAAAATTAAAATTCAAAAAAAGAAGCACAACCACACCATCATCTTGTTTCTGGTAAGCTCGTGCTCCATCTGTTTGGCTGGAGAGCTAAGTGAGTTATCGTATTTGGGTAAGTCATATCTGTGTGAGTACTTTGGTCGGCTGCAAACATATGCTTTTCTGTGACCATGGAATTAGCCCCAATAACCAAATAAATCACCTCCGAATTGATGTCATCGATCTGATTTTGCTTCGTAAACTTGACGTGCTACCCTGACGCATAACCATCGGAAGAAAAAACATGTTCATGTTCAAGGAGTTATCCCTTGAGAGTCAGCAACCATTTACAATAGATAAAGAAGATAAACGCAAGATGCCTAACCTGGCAATTTTTGAGCCAGTGCTCATTCTTACATTCATTGTTATAGTACAGTCGTGGTCTATGCCATAACTACGTATCGGTGTATTATCGTCCCTGCAAGAAAAAAAAAACTGTTAGACTCATGGGAAAAGGTTCTCTTGAGAAGATTGATAAGTTTTATTCTCAATATGTTTGCTACCATAACTGTAAAGCTGATTCAGCTTTAATTTGAGTATGAAACAAATTACCAGGCTTTTTACAGTAAGCGCAACAATAATGACTAGCTTTTCTCAGCGGCAGACTCTGTAAAGTACTAAAGAATTATTAGTAACAGACTCTATCGCATATCTACATCTATCTAGAAAAACTATTCCCCCTTCTAGTCATGTAAAATTTCAACCGACTTGAAAATCTGAAACGAAAATCGATTACAATTCTGCAAAAGCGGGCGCTGAAAGGACACTGAAATACCTCCTGATCAGTTCTTGTGAGAGAAGAAAAAGCTGAAAATTGTAAAACTAACAAGGGAACCGTGTCGAGTCGAAGTGGCCTTTCGAGATGAGACCCATACAGCTTTGAAGAGTATTAAGCGATGATTTCAAATCTGCCTTCCAAATCAGCCAAGCGCCTCTGGACGCCGAGTTATGACCGTTCTTCGGAACGAAAAATGAATGCAGAATTTAGGCAAAATTGATTGTTACAATCTTTACAGCGCTCAAATAAAGCTGTTAAGTGTTAGCATATTGAGTGAATTGTATCCATTGCATAAACAGCTCTGATACTTGACAGTGGACCATTTGAGCAAATTTGGGCGATCTTGCTTCAGTTTTGCGTTCAATTTTTTGACCTGAAAAACGAGCATAACTCGGCGTCCAGAGGCGCTTGGCAGATTCGGAAAGCAGATTTGGAATCACGATTAATGCTCTTCAAAGCAGTATGGGTCTCATCTGGAAAGGCCACTTCGACTCGACACGGTTCCCTTGTAAGATCCTCCGAGTAACAATGATTTACTGGCGGTCCACATGAGGTTTGACATGAGGGAAGTATTAGATTTAGCAGACATTTCTCTGCAAATTCTTCCAAATCTCATATTAGACCGCACCATAAATCTTTGTGCACTGCCACTGCATTTCGAACTATCTCCTTCCCCATGCATCAAACGTTTGTTCTTCCAGATTATACCGATCGTTAACAACTCTCTTGTCATTGAGTCTTTGAAAAGCGTTAGGTGCCAATTTGTAGAGCTGGCTTTAACTTAGTGAGTGGATCGCCGTTCTCTCTTCAATACTATAGGATTACCGTAGGAACTTTGAAGAGCTTTTTGCTTGTTGAGGGTCATATTTTACCTCTGGAAAAGGACCATAAAAGCTGAAAACTCTTACACTAGGTTAGTCTGGCTAGCTGATTTCAAATATAAAACTCGCACTTCTCCGTAATACTTTCTTCATGATTTATACCAAATATAACACAACGACGGATTTCTGATACTCGGTAAAAATTTGATTAGGCCATTCGTAAAGCTCTGCGAACCCCCGAAAAGTTATGTAGCGAAATCAGCATGCGTGAAAACCTTACACAAACTTTCATTTTCTAGGAAAATTTTGTTTCGAACAGCCTATTCTTACAGTGGCACCATATGCTGCGAGTTCCTACCGTAATATTAATGAAGGGAGATCGGTAGTTTGCATCATACTGTAGATCTAAGTCAAAGCCAGCTCTACAATATGATGCTTGATTCTTTTTAAAAGATTTCATAAAAATAGAGTTATTACCAATCAAACAACGATAGGCACATTTTTTGGGACACCCTTAATCATTGAATCATTTTTGGCATTTATCCAAACTTATCTAACAATTGCGATACCGAACACTACCATCTACACTGAGAAGATCAAAAGCTAAAAGAATTCGAAACTCACTTGAGTTCAACGTCCTTGTACATTAACACTTGTTTACCAGCGGATATATCTGTCGCGTCAGAAACTATACTTTTCAGCTCGGAAACTCGACATAATGCTGGTACGAGTATTTTTGCCTGAATAATACGATCTCTGTGCTCTACGGTAAAGAGCATGGAAAGCTTAACCTGAGTCTCATACAATTAAAAGGATTTTGATGGATGCATACGTAAACAAACAACAACAACAACAGACTGCGGGTTGCTAGTTTTATATAAACACTTGAGCGCAGTTTTCTGGATGATTCCACGTATGTATGCTGGTGGTGCAGGGCAACAAATTTCAATTTCTTCGATAGAATAACGTAATTCTTCATGTTTTACCGGGGGGGGGGGGGGTCTCAATGTAAATAAAATGATACCACCAGATGCTACTAACTGATTTCATTCTTCGCCCACTAATTGCCTTATGTCGCGCTTAGTAGTACAGTTCCTTGTAAGAATAACAGATAGTGCAGTAAATTTACAGCTTCTGTTAACTTGTCGATGTTCTTTCGATGCTGCTAAATGGGCCAATATCTAGAAGAATGAGGCTATTGTAATTTTTTGCCGCCACGCTCTCTAAAAAATTTCGGCTTGAGTGTTGGAAAGCATCGCTCAAAAAATACAAAGACTCAAAGCTTTTCGGGAGACGTAAATAAATAACGTCACGCCCATTAAAAAAGAAAATTCCTTCTTTCCCAACGAAATTTCTAGAACTGTTCACTGATATATGCGTACCGCCGTCACGCCCTCCATCACAGTGTTTACAGTTATCTCGAGTAGATCGTTGAGTGGTTCTTCCGTTACTCGTGGAGAACTCCTAGGAGAACGATTCGAATGACCTGAATAATAGGCTATCCGAGAATATTTGTCGTGATTACAACAATAATTTTGAGTTACCAGATTTTGTACGCGAACTGCAGGCATCTGAAAAGCTGGATATACAATCAACACTTTCAGTTGTAATCAGCTAGTGCACCTTCTTTGCTTCGATGCGACTCCGATTCAAAACCACTCATCCCAACAATAAGTTTACAAATGAAATTCGCCACATCTCAACTTCACACTTACTGATACTAACTGATAATGGCATAATGTGATAAACTGTGATGTGATAAACGAGGAGAACTATTTTGATCTTTCGTTATACTTGGTTACGCAATAGCTCTAGTTTGTTTCAAGCCTTTCACAATGAGTAACTCTATCCAGATTTTGAGTGTATTCATCAGAGGCGGTTACGTTTGTAGTTTCAAAATATTAATTGTTTCACTTCCATGTAGATGCCATTGAGTCAGCATAAGAAAAGAAATAATGTCGTTCTTCGGTTCTTCACAGTTAAATCAATGTTTCCCAAAATCTAATTTATGTGTAAGAGTTCAGAAAGGCAGCGAAGGCTTGTGATATACAATTGCTAATCCCAACCCATAAAAATTATCTGGGGGGGGGGGGGGACAGATTCTTCCAGGGAGAGATAAACCACTAGCCATTCCGGGGGTTATAGGGAGTTTTCAGAAATTTGGGCCCATTACCATAATTTCTTGGAAAAGATGGTGCAAAAGGCAAAACTTCTCGTGCTCTTCTTCGAGAAAGAGGCATTGAAGACTGACCGTTGCTCTAATTTTCAATTGAATCTACGGTCATAGGCTTAAATGAATTATTTTTGAAGGTGCAGAAACAGAAACTGATGGAGCATTACCCAAGACCAGCTCTTAAGGTTTGTGATCCAGAAATTCGACTCTGAATCCTCGCCCGTAATCGTACCCTTTCGATCAAACCAAACAGCGTCCTCGAGTACAGTCGCTTTGTCGTTAACGACAAGAAAAAACAAACAATAGCTTCGGTTTGCCAGTTACGGAATTTCTTTCCTTGCAATTTTACTTTAGCAGAAACCACTGCGCGAACGTGGTTCAGACAGCTGTGCCAAATGGTTGTGGAGTGTGTTCCAGAAGATGGACCATGATGGCGAGTGGCCTGTGGAGGGCTTCGCAATTAGTCTTACATTTTCTAATCTCCTTTCTGCATTTCTTACGAGTAGCCAAAGTTCCGCAAGATGTTCAAGATATTGTTTGGTTTGACTTATTGTTGTCATTCATTAGTTCCAATTATTTTTATTATTATTTTGCTACCAACTGTGTCATTTGTTCATGTTAATTCGTTCCCTTGTTTATGTATGTACTATACTTTGGAATATTCGAGAATTTTTTCGAATAATCGAATAACCGAATATATTCGAAAATCAAAAATATCGAACAATCGAATTTCGAATATTTTCAAAAACAAAAAATGTCGAATATTCGAATATCGAATATTTTCGAAAAACAAAAATGTCGACTAATCAAATATCGAATATTTTCGAAATAAGAAGATTGTCGAATAATCGAATAATAAATATATTCGAATTGAAAAAAATCCGAATACTCGAATAAATTTGAGAAAAAAAATCCAAATAAACGAATATTTTGCATCGATTATATCGAATATTCAAACAAATTTTGATCAAATTAGCACAATGAAAGACTCCATGCAGTGGGCAACTTGGACTACAAACGATGGTTGCTGGTATAGCAGTCAAAATTGTGATCCTGTCATGTAGTTATTCGATTATACGAAATTGTCGAATAATCGAATAACTTCTGAAAATAAATATTCGAATGTTCGAATATTTTCGAAAATCAAATTTTTCGAATAACCGAATAATTGAATAAATTCGAAATTGACAATTTTAGAATAAGCGAATATCGAATATATTTGAGATTTTGAAATTTTCGAATAATCGAATTTCGGATAAAATTTATTCGAATACTTTATTCGAGTACTCGAATATTTATTCGATTCGGTCCAAAGTATAGTCTGGCCGTATGTGGAGTGGGATGTGCGCAAAAGTTTGGCACAGTATCTCTTCTTTGACAAAATTGGGTGTCTGCAAACGTTTGATAATAGTGAAAGCGCGGGAAGTGAGTGAAATTTCTGTAGGTTTCACATGTTTATGCGAATGAAGTATACAGCAGAGCTTTTCCTAGCTCCTCAAAGATTTTCATATTGAAGACCTACAGCTATTCGCAAGGAAGGACGTTATCTTGCTGGGTCCAAAATAGCCATGCTGAGCACGAGATTGTGCAATTAGCATGTTCTAATAAGTATGTCAATCTTTTAAAGGTCATCTGGAAAACTTCGTGAAAAAATAGAAAGCTCTTCTGTCAGATTGCGTTGCAACCCTCCACTTCCTCTTTCCCCCCTCCTCTCCCCTCGCCCCTTCCCCTGCTCTGAAGGAAAGCTTATCAGCATAAGTGTTTGTTTTCTTGCCAAAAAGTTTCCTTCAAAAGTGTCCAGATTTTCGTTGTTTTTTCAAAATTTTGCCACAGAATGTGCCAAATTGTGTTCCTAACCATACCTTTAAGGTTTTCAGATTAAATTTTTGTCAAAAAGTTTGCATACCCAGCGAGAGTGATTAACGTTCCAAATCTTCTCCTTTTACTTATTTTTCATCAAATAGTCTTTTTAAAAACCGTGCAGAAACGCCTTCGGCCCTTCTGAGCTTCTATCAGGGACAAATCTGACACTCATTCCTTTCGCTAAAAATGTCTGAATGTCCCTAAATTTAGGAATATCAGAATATTTGCGCCATACTTTGTTAGTTTTCGTCTATCCCAAAACCTACTATCAAACTCATCCTGTCAGGACCGCTCAAACCTGTTTATTTGCTTGGAGACATGTGCATGTCTTTGCCTTTGCTGAAGTCAAAGTGCAAATCTCTACTGTACGCCATGGCACCTAAGTGTGTGCGATGGCGCACATTGGAAGCGATGGCCCTCAAACACTACCAACTAAGTTTCACCCTCCCCCCCCCACCCCCTCCCCCGTGCGCTTCCCCAACATCTCAATTCTGTGGCATTCGAACTTTCCCATATTTTTCGTACTTCTAGCATTAAGGACCTCCATCTTGCTTTCCTTCAGCTCACTATGGTTTTTATACCTCATTCAATATGATTTTTATATTTAGAAGTTGCAATAGAACTAGTCGATTGTTAGGATGACACCTTACTTGGGTGGCTCTTGATAAACATCATGTTTGATGTGTGCACTTTACCTTTGTGGCACTTCATCAACATTGTCTAAGACATAAATCACTGTCCCATGGGGTACACCTGCGGGCACATAACGACGGACATGTTGACACCACGGAGGGAGTGTTACATGCATGAGTCATCTCTAGCGCTTTATTATAGAGAGATTACATTTAAATTAGTAAAGGTTTAATACCCAATGAGGTGCGAGCCCCGCGTGGCAGATAATCTTTGTTTTGGTTTGAAGGATTAATTCTGCGTATCATATCGTCTCCTATTTTTATCACTCGCTTAACCGATGGCTTTAGCACTTCCTAACCAAGTTCAACATATTGAGAAATCAGGTAGGCCTGCCCAGACATCGTCTTCACAACACTAGTAGTCGATATTAGTGTTGATTTGACCACTATTCCTTCTCAAATGACAATAGGTGGTACGGAACTGGATGTGACTAGCAGTATCCTGTAGGTACAGTAATCAGTAACTAACTCCATCTGAGCATACATTTCGCAAAATGTTTGAGATGAGAAAGCAATGTGGTGAGAATTCCATCACATATAGAAGCATTTATTAATGGAACTATGACGTGAAAAATACGGATCAAAACAGATATAACAAGCCCATTATGATTTAGAAAGTTATATTCATTAAGTACAGTATACAGGGCACGCCGAAAGCATACCAAATGTTGTGCTACTTCTAAATTAATTTAAAATCAAAGCTTTGTAACATCGGCATACCAAAAAGCAGCTATGTATCAGTTAACTTAACATCTCACAGGTTCCAGCCTAATATGCATGCAGAAACTACATAATTTTACAAGCAAACAATACGCACAGCTGCACATCCCTGTTATTCAGTGTACAATACAACAAAGGCTAACATCGCAAATATAATGGGCGGGGCGGCGGAGCATTTTCAAATAGATCTATTTCCCGTCTTTGAGAAAAACAAGCTTCGAGAATAATCAAAACAAGTAAGACAAGGAACCCGTAAGGATGGCTGATCTGTAACAAATAAAAAAAAAGAGGTGTGGAGGGGTAATCTGACTAGTAATCAAGATTCGAGAATTTAGATATACATATCAATGCAGTTCTGTAAAATATATCAAGTCTTGTGGTATCACATTTTCATAATCTATATTGTTTCTTCGTACCGCATTTGCTGCCAATCCTTTCAATGTGATACACTTACCTGAAGCTTTGCATTGTAACAGTAGGAAAGAAGCAACAATGATAAGAAACTTTTACCTAGCCGCATGGGAATTGAGAATGGCTGGAGAAGATGGTCATTCCGATTACTGATGATATCAAGGCAAGTTTTCCCTTCAGCATCACGCGCCAGAACGTAGGCACCGTATTCTAGAAGGAGGCGGACCACGCTCATCCTGCAATTTCTACTATTTGATGTGAATAGCAGAAAGAAGGCTGGGACCTACCGTGGATGAGAATTCTTGAGCATCACATGTAGGGCTGTGTCACCATCAGCATCTTTGGAATTGATACAAACACCGGATGCAAGAAGGCGTTCGACAACAAAGTACGATGGCATTCTAAAAAAATCATGAAGAAGACCTCCTAGAAGGCTGAGATTTTAAAATTCAATCCCACCCATCAAATTCCACAGTATCAATCTCTTTGACAGCGTAATGAAGCAGCGGTATTTTCAACGTTTGACAAACTTCCACGAAACGGCGAACGTCAACCTGCGATTTTTGTCATTATGTAAAAGATGGAAGTTACTCAAAGCCAACAGATGAGAAGTAACTTTGGAGTGCATACCTCTACTGTTTCAGATGCGCGACAAATGTACACAACATCGTCCTCTTCTTCTTCGTCATGCATTGGCAATGAAAGTCGATTCATCTAAATATGAGTGGTACAGAGTAGTAACTTTATAGAGTAGAAACAGTCGGCATTGGAAAAGGTCAAGATCGCAGCTATCAAGTTATGAATGATCATGAAAACGCACCAATGCTAGTAGCTGTAGTCCAAGCAGCACAACTCGCTTTTTTTCATCATCGCAACTATGGAGATGATCTTCACCGCAGTTGCATAAGTCCGACAAAGGTCGCTCACCCCAGTCAGCAAGCTAAACGAAGTTGTGAGAAATTGCTTCGTCCAAAATTTATTCAAATTACTTACCCTTTCCAACTCAAGGCAAACCCTCTCGAACACAAAGCTGACACTATCCTGTTTTGGTGGTGCATTACGTCGCCCAGCAAGTTCCATGTGGATAGCGCGATCGTTGAGTGTGTGGAGAAAAGTTTCCAAAAACGCTTGAAACATTGTTTGTGTGGACATGTGTAGCGGAGTAAGATGTCTAGAACGTGAAGCTTCAATGATTCTAGAATGACCGCACAGACACACCAACGTTTGCTGCAAAACCAGCGCGTGTCTCCATAGCTCGTAACACTTGTCAACGTTGCCAAGATCACTGTAGATAGCTCCCCGAAATCGAAGATAATAGTGAACATCAGCATGTGCTCCACCAAGGATTCTCTCGCGGATGAGCAAAGACTGAAATGTAAACGCTACAGTGGTGACCTCATCGCCAAAGCTCCAAAGCTCGTATCACAAAATAGATTCCTAATAGTGGAACCGAAGTTTTCTTAAAAAGGATGTCCGTTTGGTCGAAGTGGCCTTTTTACATGAAACTGCTACGACTATGAAGTACATCAAATGTTGATTCCAAATCTGTCTTTGTTATCTGCCGAGCGCCTCTGAACGTCGAGTTATAAGCGTTTTTTTCTGAGTTAAAAAATTGAGGGATGATTAATACAAAATTCGTCAGAGTTGCTCAAATGGTCCACTGTTGACTATCACTCCATTCCAACAAATACTTTCTGTCCAAAACACTCATATTGACTTTGCTCTATTTGAGCGCTGAAAAGACCTTAAAATTTGATTTTACTTCAATTATGCGTTCATTTTCCGCACCGAAAAAGTATTCATGACTCGGCATGTAGAAACGCTTGGCAGATCGAAAAAACCAGATTTGGAGTCACCGTTTGATGCTCTTTGAGGTGTATTCATTGCTACGACCGGCGATCGCCATCGGCGACTACACATCGCTACGACTGGCGATCATTAGTCGCCTTTATTAGCGACGGGCGATGGCCACTCGCTAATACTGGCGACTGCACTTAACATAGAAATTGATCGCTAATAAGTTTCCACATATTCATTACATACGTACTAAATGTGTAGTTCGCCGAAATCTTGCGATCGCCAATCGTAGCGGCTGGCGATCGACGGTCGACAGTCGTAGCGACTGGCGATCGCCCGTCGCCATGCTATACTCCTCCAAGAGTATAGGCCTGCCTAACACTGATACTCTTTGGAAATTCTGCTATAGTCTATACTAAGCTGTGCATATTTCCAGACTGGACACTCTCAGGTATAATGACGTAAAGCTACGCATACGCTAAGCATACGGATGTAAAGCTTTTAGGAAGTGAGAGCAATGCGAGAACATCTTAGCAAGATAAAAACAGACAACAATTGAAAGAATATAAAAACAATCAACTTTAAATGAACTTTTGCTTGTTATTTACCTGCAAACGTATAGCATCTGGACTGTCTTCTATTGCTGCAAGGTCTTCTAAAGTTTGTATTTCTTTATGCCCCTCATATACTGGTGCAACTACAAAGCTTTCAACCGCCTCTTCCACCTGAAACAATGATTCTCATTTCACCAAAGAGAAAAAAAATGAAGACTTACATGTTTTTGCTCTTCTTCAGTCAGTGGTACTTGCAGTGCATTATTCCAAGCTTCAATAGCTCCAACCATATCCATCTTTTTATCCACTCTCGTGCATCCTAGTAATTTTAGCGCGTCTCGCTGTTTTTCACCCGAGTCGCAATATTCCAAGAGCATAGGCAAAATCTTCAATGAACTGAGATAAAATCGAATGTGGACTAACAAGAAGAAACTTACTGCGTCAGCACCAATCATCACCGCGCACATGAGAGGACACACACCAAACTCGTCGGGTACAAGATGAGCGCCAGCATTCAGTAAAAGTGCACAAACTTCAAGGTTTTCCCCCTCGACAGCATCATGCATGGCAGTGTTACCTCAAATATAACGTGAAAGCATGCATACGATCCAAAAGCAATACAGAACAACTACCTTTTTTACTGCTCCTGTTCACATCAGCCCCACAACTAATCAGATACTTGACTACGTCAACCTAAAATAACGCTTTACTTCGGCAATAAGATACTTTCATCAGATTTTCTTCGGATAACATGTAACATACTTTCTGTCGATATGCGGCTATCATCAACGACGTATGACCATGTTGATTTGCTATCTCGATGTTCGCACCGTGTTCCACCAAGTATTTGACTGCAAAAAAAAGATGAAGAGAAGCGTATATCCGACTTGACGTATTTGAATGTTTCTATAAACTGTCATTGCCCACTCTACAATCGATTGGCGACCCATCTCTTTTGACTGTTCACTCTCAATCAATATAAATGGCCTTAGCTCGCGAATTTCTCTGCTTAAACCATGCGTTGTGGTAGCACGAACACTTGAGCCGGAAGGTCTGATCAACATCCAACACAAAGATGCCTGCGCATTCCTGCTGCTTACAAGATATGTTCGTAGAGATCTCTTGAAAGATGTTTCAAAGTCCAAGGGTTCAAAAAAGTCGCACCACCACTTCGTAGTTCGCGATAAGAAAACGGAGATAATGAACGGTAGGGGAAGAACGTAGAACACAATTGTTAGACCAAGTAAATAAGAAATAACTTAGTCATAAAGCAACGCTGCATCGAAATCCATGAAGTTTACGCATGATAAGATGAATGGTGGCCATAAGACTCGCCTATTTCCAGATGACCATCATAGCATGCACCACGAAGAGGAGTACTGCTGGTATTCGTAGTCTGGTTGATATTTGCACCAGCTTCTTCAACAAGAATGCGTACTACCTGCAGATATGCGATTGACTATGATACTAGTCCTCGATTTGATGGATTTTCCAAATCACCTCGAACTTCCCAGCTGCAGAAGCTGCCCATAGTGCTGGTGCCCCCACTGAAACAAACTCATAATTGAAAACGATGAGTTTTGGTGCGGTTGCAAAAATGACCAAAAAATTCTTGGACAGAAGACGAGACTTGCAAAAGAAATCTATCCCATTCCTTCATACTGTGCGTTCCAGTGAAAACATGACATAGAAAATTCGACAAAAATATTACATAGGAAGAATTTCTTGTGATGATTAATTATGGTTACTCATCATTTTGAATGAACTGATAAACATGCGGTTCACTAAATAACGAGAGAGAAACTCACAGATAGTTTCACCATCAAAGGAAACTGTGCCTGCTACATTTGGATCTGCTCCTTTTTGTAGCTGAAATAGATTCATTCAACACATTATTCATTCGAAGGTTGCAAAACATAAACAGAAAAGGTTGCAATACTATCTGCCAATAGTCCAAGACTGCGCAGTGCCACGACGTAGAATTCAGTCGCATAGGGAAAAAATTCGTGCGAGAAAAAAACACACCAGATATCGCACAACATCCACGTGCCCATTCCGAGATGCGATAACGAGCGGAATTTTGTCGCTCTCCGTGCTATTCAAACAACTATCCAGCCAAGGCTTCGACGTGCGTCCATCCAAAAATACCTAGGAATAATCCATACGTGTTTTCAAAAAATCAAATACAGCATTGAGCAAAAAACTTGAAAAAACACTCTTTATGCATACAAATCATGAATGATTCAGGTGATATATTTTTGGTGAATGCATGAATAGATACTAAAGTAGAAATGCGATAAAACGGTTGATTAAGGCATATCAGCAGATACTTCCAAAAAAAACCGCGTTGGGACCAGTAATTTGGATATCAACCAGCTTAGCGGATAAAACTGGCATGCGATATTGCATGCTGATTTCGTCCTGTTTCAGTCAAACTCACCTTGTACAACAGGCTTGCCATGATGTCAAAAAAAACAGATACTGCACCCCAAATCCTCTACGAAAAAAGACCTGATGCAGCAAAGATAACAAAATATTCGTGCGGAGAACATTCTTTGCAAAACCCATGGCGATCGACTATGTGTCTTATCACAAAGGATAAAAAACTGGGTAGCGTGGAGAAAACCAAGTCACCTTACCTTGAGCCTTCGAAGATTTCCAGCGCTGGCAGCATTGAAAACTACTGCACGGAACTCGAAGCCATTCATGCTGAAAACAGGTGTGATGAAACCTTCTGGAACGACGTTGAAGCAGAGTAAAATCACGGTTAGAAGTCAAAGATAATTAGTCGTTGACACGAGATCGCAGAACATACGACATCGTTACTACAACGGCACCTATTGCAATGATATGATACGGAATCATAGCGAAACGGATTTTGAAAGCAAAAAGATCAACGAAACGTAGAAAAGTGGGCGACACACCTGACGTGACATCGCATTGTTGCTGCCGTGAGATTTGAGGCGATGATTGATGTGTTCTGTGCCTGCGGAACAACTAATTTAACGCAGATTTTTCAAGAATGTGTGTGGGAATAATTTTTACCAGTGCGTCACCTCTGCTTCGCAGAGGTTCGCACTGGCTCTACTATCCGTGCCTTCTTCGTGATAGCATAATAATGACTTTGAAACTCACCGCGCGATGCTGAACAACACGAATGAATTGTAAGCAACCATTCATTTTTAGAGCTTTTCCATGTAAGATCGGTAATTTTAGTGGAAAAAAATTTTCCCGCAGAAAAACAAATGCGATTTTGAGTGGGTTACTGAATTTATTTTGGCTTTATAGTCGCCATAAGGATAAAGGCCACTTTGAGCTACATATCTACTCAAAAATCCTCTCAATTTCCATAGTAAAAACTTGGCAAATCGACAATTTGCTCAGTTACATCTTCTTGGCGCCAACTTTGTGTAAAAATAGACTGCTTACTTTTTGAGCTAAAATCAATGTTTTTCGGATTTACTTGCTGAACAAATCCACGACTTTGCAAAAAGTCCAATTACCGATCCATTTTGGCGCGCCAAAAGTCGAGTGGATCCGTTTGACGCACAGTTTTCGATGGTTCCACTTGCTGGATCAACTTGTGATTTTGCACAGTTTACCTACATGCCGACAGGGTGCTATGACCAAAATTCTAGATCAAGACGCTGGCTGCAACTCACTCTGTGAACTTCGTGACAGACAGATATACACACACAGAGAGAAACAGACAGACGCTTAGCGCTTTATTATATATTTTTATCGTGTCAGTCATGCACTGTATGTGAACAACTGACTAAACAGAAAGCCTTACCAATGCAGAATATTTCATCTCGGATTCCTACGTTTTTGGAAGCACGAACAAGCTCGTAAGCTCGAAATAACGGCACCAATGCCCAAAACTCAACACTATCTTGAGCCTTTCTTCCATTTTCTGCATCTTTCCCCTAATTTACGATTATAAACGGTATGATTCATAAATGATCGGCGTCCTGGCTTTCAGGCGATGTATATAACAGCACTTTTGCGGGGAGTATGCAAGACGATTGCACGAAATTCGAGAATTTCACTGTCTCGAGGATTATATCAACTGCGGCGAATATCCGCATCCCAGGAGATCCGGTACGCGGCAAACGTTGAGGGATACGTTAGCCGTGGAGCGCGCCAGCGCAATCATTGGCCGTACTGGCAAGACAGCTAAAGTTGGCCCGGGGGGGGGGGGGGATTTTTCGGTGTACTTCGAAGGGATTTCCCCCATGTAGATTTTTGCCTGATCTGGAGGGAAAAAACAAAAACGAGTATTTGTTCCAAAGTTGTCCTTCTTTGGAAAAATGTTGAGAAGCCAGATGCAATCGAGTGACTCTCTCAATGTACTTACGTTGCTTTTGCTGTTGTTGTTTGCGTTCTGTAGTTGTTCCTTGCTAGTTATTTGTATGGTATCCTGATGTAATAACATAATAGAATATCTTGCCGTTAACATTTCCTTGTAATGAGCTGGCTGGCTATCTGCTGTATAAAACTGATCACCCACTAGTATTAGTAGAACTCTTCAAATAAAGAAGTAGCACCCAATTTTGCTCGGAATTCAGCAGAGCACCTGATGGCTGCCCACAAAGGGATAGATACGGCTTGCAAATTCATAGTTAGGAGAATATTTCGACACTGGCACTAAAAATGGAATTCCTATGCGTTTCTGTAAAGCTTCGAAAGTTTAGCAGTTCTACACTCAAGGATGAACGGACTAAGTGTTATTATGTTCAACAAAACACTAGCAATTTATGCGAAAAGTCAATGCAGATATTTAGATTTCTTTGGCAGACAATCCCCAAACGAGTTGGTTTCGTTTGAACAGACTAGACTTCACTCAAATCGACATTGAATTCAACTTTTTCAAGATAAAGGTTTGACAAAATATTTCTCGCAAGGAAAGAGTGTCAAGCGTGGTTTCTGTACCACAGAAACAGAACACAAACAGACAAAATACTTCAGAACCGATACAGTGTCACACTCATTTCGTCAGCGGAACTATCAGTGACAATAGGTTGAATGAAAGCTCCACTCTTTCCAAAATTTCATGAAACCTACTTGCCTTATGCGGCCAATACAAAAACACTATCACGATTAATCCTGTATATGAGGGAACTGATCTTGAGGATTCATTTCAGGCCGTCAAGTCACTGGCACAAACTTTTGTTTGTGCGTTACCAGCGTCAAAATATGAATAGGCGAAATCTCCCAACTTCTAACAACACTTCCTGCATACGTCCAAACGATACTTAATTCTGCATTAATCATCAACTGCAAAATTTCAGCATCAGTATTAGGAAACAAACGCGAAAGTATTCAAGGCAACATTCCTGTGGTATCTACTTCCGCATACCGATTGAAGCTGTACTTGAAGTTCAACAGAAAAAGCAGTTTGAAAGAGAGCGCACGTGCTCACAAAATCCAAGATAACTAGATTTTTCAAGTCAGCGGAACTGTTGAAAATGATAAACGTTGCAACCATCTGTTGCACGCATCGAAAATGCAAACCCGACATCTTTTTTTTGAAGCTAGTCATGGGAAATATGAAGTCCACATTCTTCAAAGTTCTGTTCTCACTAGATTGAGCAAAAAAGATGAAAGATCTTCGAAGCACTTGCCTTCCATAAATGAAAAGCAAAAGTTATCACGCACAAATTTGGCTTAGAAATGACGAAAATGAGATTTTGTCGACCAAGAAACATCAAAACGATGTTAGAGAACAAAAACATGTGAAAACTGGGCCAACATAGCTGTCTTGCCAGTACGGCCAATGGTTGCGCTGGCGCGCTCCATGGCTAACGTATCCCTCAACGTTTGCCGCGTACCGGATCTCCGCATCCCAGTGCTCTTCGCAGACAAAGTCGCCGGGCTCAGAATCTAAACATTCTGATAGCTCACGATCGAAGCGTGAAGAAGAAAGGGATAAAGGTTTGTGTCTTCTAAAGTATAATTTACTTCGTTTATTTCTTTCGTCCTTTTAGTTTTTTATAGTCTTTTAGGCCCTGGCCAGACTTCGCTCAAAAGCGCCCAAAAGCGCTCAAAAGCGCTCAAAAGCGCGCGAAGCGCTCAAATTTCTCTGGTGTCTCTTCACTTTCTCGTGTGAGGAGAGATGAGAGAGAGTGAGGAGAGGTTAGAGAAGTTTGGGCGCTTTTGCGCGCTTTTGCGCTTTTGGGCGCTTTTGAGCGCTTTTGGGCGCTTTTGAGCGTTGGGCGCTTTTGAGCGCTTTTGGGCGCTTTTGAGCGCTTTTGGGCGCTTTTGAGCGAAGTATGGCCAGGGCCTTATACTTTTTGTGTGTTGAATTACCCATGTTCCAGCCAAAGTCCGTCGAGCCTACGCTTTGGGAGGATGTTTAATGATTATGTGGCTTTCTACACATGCTATATTACTGTACCGGCGTAGAAATGAGCATAGGCATCTCAACAAAACGGTGCCTCCGATGTCTTGGGAGGCATTTGTGCAAGATTATCTTTTGCCCGGAAAGGTGCGTAACAATATAATTTGATTATGCACTTGTATTACAACATCTTTTGCTAATTTGATTTATCATTGCGTTGAGTGACAAAAAAGCGATAAATGAGATTTGTAACCATCTTACCGTACTGTAGCTGGTCACACCGGTCTCATGCGCCATCGTAACTTTCCTCTTTTAGGTGAAAACTATCGTATATCAACCTCAATATGAGGTTGGTAATGTATATCTGCATTCAGCTACAGAGCAGTTGATGAAGAGGGAGTTGCTGAATTGGGTAAGACTAGTTTCTCTTATTCGCATACATAACCAAAGCAGTTGCCGATGTTTTTTTTCCTCAAAAATTTTGGAATATTAGTATGTTAGGAAGCATCACATATTCTGAGCGTAAAGAACACTAGCAACATTCCAGAAGAGTTTTTTATGCGTCTATAACCGAAAGTCATGCTGGCAAAGTGGATTCCTCTCTGTTCTTTGCAGATACATGCAGCTCCCGATAAATTTTCGCGACCACCTGATGTTAGGTTTTACTTCAATGGTGATGCTGCTGCAGTTGAGCATGCCATAAAGAGTTTGCAAAAGCTTACGCACGACACTCCTAAGCCTTTGAAGGAAGTCGAATTCGATATTGACCAATTTCCAAGCAGCAGGTATGATTTTCATCGTTGCAATCTTGTGAAAAGCCTGCATTTCCAGAGAACTGGCTTTCATCATCACCAGTACGTTGTTTACCCTGGCTGCCTTTATTTTAGTGAAGTAGGCAAATTTCTGAAGTTGTTTTCCTTGTTATTGAAATTGCACGTGATCTGAGCTTTAGGTAGTGATCTTGTTTGAAGTTTCCATTTTTTTGCAATAGTTATTTTCCTCAATTGTTTTAGAGATTATATAGTGGCTAGCAGCAAGATCTGCTGCATTTACAGCCAAGTAACTAGTCGCTGTTTTTATTTTGTTACTGTATTGATTTGGTCTTCTTTCGCATCTCACAGGAGTTTTTTTAAGTGTTCGGAACATCAGGGTTAGCGCGAGGTGAAAGAGATTTGCTTTATGCTCGGGCATACCCCACACGAATCCACCAGATGTTTAGGAATTTCACCGCGCGGGGTTTCCGTATGAGAAATATGTTTCAGTATATATCATTCGGTTACTGAATCGCACCTCTGCCCTGGGCAAAATTCCGCGGTTGATCGCCAAACATCTGGAAAGTAGGTCTTTCATATAGCCTTGCGAGGTGAATTCCTGGATCTTTTGAATTCATGTGAGGTATGCCCATGGTGTGGAGCAAATCCTTTCACCTCGCTCGCCTATGGTCGAACAGCTGTGAAATAGGGAATGGCGATGTATATACACCAGACACATTGTTTTCATCGAAAGGTGAGAAGCGCATCTAGAAGTTGCTCACGACTCTGTCGGTGGTGGCATTTGGATAGAGGTCCACATGTATCGCAATTGCAACCACTGTTGTCTTGACAGCAGAATATTACTATTGAGAGGTTCTTGTCTATCTTTGACATTACCTGAAAATACCAGCAAGTGCCATTCAGTTTGCATCAGAAGTTTCATTCATCCGTTCGTTATCTTGTTGGCTCACATTTCATCGTTACGAACTCGTTTGCTTATGATTTACATCAGCGTTTTCAAAAAATTCATGTAAATGAGTTGTTGAACAAATAACAAGGATTCATGGGGAAATGATTTCACAGAACAGATTGCAGCTATGCTAAGATAGCCTTTTCCACTTCACATTTGGATGAAACTTTAATAGGTAGTTCTCTCCTCATGGTATGGAATCCGGTCTTAAGAACGTTAATGACAAGGCATCCATTTCCGTTGAGATGAGTTTCGACGGCATCCAAATCTGCTTCATCGGGTAGCGTCCATCGCCGTGAAAACGTACTAAATGAGATTTTAATGAAGATATTAGTTATGCATAGCATACTTCTGAACATATCCTTCGAGATCGGGTTTTTCCTGATTTCCTTCTATTATTAGGTCTCGACCGATGAGGTATACATGAAGTTCTTCTGGCTTGTATTGCGAAACATCAATGGATATGGCAAATCGTGTGATGTCATTAATCACCTGTATTGCAACTCAGTAACATTTGGCTGGATTATGGTCAAATTAGTACAAGTTTTTTGAAGTACAAGTAAAATTTGCATGTGATTACTCACTTCGAAATCATCGGCAATTTTTTGCTCTATCGGTGTGGGATCCTCCCAGCATGATATCACACAACTGCCTAGATCGCGAACACACTTCTCAAAAATTCCTCCTGTCTTCATGGCTTTGAAAGAATATTAAACTGAAAATCAAACGAAATTGTTATTTTTTTGAGTTTATGTAAATTCGTACTGATTCCTCTATAAAACAACTGCAAAAGGTTGTCTCTTGGAAAAAATGTAGAAAATTTGCTGCTCATAGTCGGGTCGACTGACGCAGGCAAGAAAGTTGTTGCATCCGCTGCGGCGGCGCGTATACGAAGAGTGCCAAGGATAAATCGAATGGGTATCTAAGCAACTGGATGGGTTCAATTCTGGCCGCTTTTATTTGGAAAATATGCGTTTTGGACACACTATCTGCAAATTTCAGGAAATTAGGAGTAAGCTAAAGATAATTAGAGACTGGCAAAACGAATAGTTGGAAGTTTGCGGCATTTAGGATAAGCTGATATGTTCGCCGATTTTTTTGTGCAAAATGCCAATACAAAATTGATGAACCCTTGAAGTCTTCGAGCAGTGGCTTATGAGTGAAGAACTGAAGAAGCATATCGAAAAGGAATGAACAAGCAAGATCAATATTTGCAATTAATATCATCGTCATCATATGTGGCATTCACAAAGTACGTCTGACATAGATATTGAAAACATCGCTTTCAAAACATCTAAATTTCGATATTGCTGAACTATCACACGTCCACTACTGCGAGCTGATATGAGCGGTGAGTTCCAAAAAGACTAATTTGCTTTTATAACTGCGAAAAGTGGCGGATGCTGCCCACGTTACTGGCCAGTTATGAGAGCTGTATTGGAAGAAAATGAGAAAATTTTTGGTCAGGGGATGGATCAATGAGTGCTCTTGTTAGACTTGTCTGAACCACTAACATGTTGCCGCATGCCAGTATAGCATAAATATTGATTTCAGCTTTTAATCAATCCTATTTTTGCTACTTTGCTCTCATGCTTGATTTTCATGATAATGATCCGGTTCAAGTTCTTCCCAAAGTCAATAGAGGCAACGCACGTCTGACTCGATGGATGCGATCAACTAGATTAAACTTTTTGATGATTTTAGTCAGCTTTCTAAGACATTTTTCGATCTTTTCGGGGACCAAAGATAATCAAAGCTAGTTGCGGTAGTCGTCTAAAAAGATTTTTTCCTGGACATCTTCTTCCAAGAAGCTAGCTTTTGTACTGAATCCATAACAACCATTTTCTACATTCTTTCTAGGCTTAATTGTCTCGAACGCGACATGCTGTACTAAGCGTTATTCTGTATAAAAAGTGACATACACATAGTAGATTACTCTTTAGTCATTAATGCTGATAAAGCTTGCCTAATGTCCCAAAAAGTTTGCCTTACTTTGGGCGGTTCGGTCTTTTTACATTAGAAACGCAGGCTCTTACTGATTATGTGGTGAACATCTTCAACTTCCACTTACCATAAAAATTGTGGTATACAAAATTGATTACGATATTGCAAACAGAATTGATAAACATGTCATTAGACTTGGTCTTGTGATTACGACTGTAGACAATTATCTAATTTTTCAGTATGTTTTTAAAAGAAATTTGAGCGGTGAGATGCAGCTGTTCGTTATTTGTATAACTGATAAATAAGATGTATTTAGCAGAAATTCGTTTATCATTCATGATTTATCGATTTTTGTTGTAATCTTGTGATGCTTTTGACCTTGCTTGTTGAATCGTGGCATTCTCCTTCTATACTTGTTGCAGAACCATTCAATATTCAATAGCGAAAATTTTAGTCGCTTTATCCGCATAAGCTTTGTCGAGAATGAAAACCTCCATAATAGACCGGCAACACAAAGCAAGCTGCCAAAAAGAATTAGCATAGAACTCATGGTGGATTGCGAGGTTATTCTTTGGAGAATGCTCTTGGTTCAGGACGTGTTTTGCCATCCGGCAACTTTGAGATGCATAGAGACTTCGTTTTGTTATCACTCCCTTCAGTGGCGGTCCCAGAATTTCCCTCAGGGGGGAGGGGGGGGGGAAGGGAAGGTTTCAGATGAAGGTGTGTGACGTTAGCCACGCACTCCAAAAATTTGGGGTGCTTCTTAAAATTTTTGAGGGCCCATAACCTCTAAAAGCTAGGAAAAGGGGACGTGGCGACAGCCACGCCCCCGAAAAAACGTTTCTTACAAGAACAATTTGAATTTTTAGAAATTCAAATTTTTTTCAATTATTTACAAAAATAAATAAGTCACTTGCACTTTTTTACACACATGTGTAAGTAATTTACAAAAATTTCGCGACCCATTCTCGAGGAGGCCCCCCTTCTAGGACCACCACTGACTCCCTTGTTTTTCATATCTCTTTTGAGACTGACTTGAGATCCAATGCAATATCGTCTAAGGTGATTAAACGGAGCTAATTGGCTTAGAATGAGATAAGCGCAAGTTGTGGAAATTCTGCCAGCGTGCGCAAATTCGAGCAACGACCGTTTTTGGACTTGAAGTAAGAAAACAAAAGTGCAACAAGTGTGCGCTTATCTCATTCTAAGCCAATTAGCTCCGTTTAATCACCTTAGACGATATTGCATTGGATCTCAAGTGCAATTTAAGGTTTGATCTCATAGTAGGTTAGAGTGGAAAGATCGTATTATAACACTGAAAAGTTTTGGATCTCTTCTTTTCTTCTTTGCGCCACCCCTTCATTTGATAGCATGCTCTGCTTTCTTCTAGCATTTGAATCAGTTTTCTTACAGTTTTCACCTCTGTGCTGAATGAGTCTGCTTATGTTGAACAATTACTAGATTTAACTCATGTTTGGTGGTTGATAGAATCTTTACACAACTTCTGCATGATCGTCTAGAATCAAAAATCTGTGCGTAAAAATCAAAAAAAAAAGCTGGAGTATGTCCATGCTGGAAACTTTTTTGATGGCAAAATTTTAACAGTGAATCAATCCACTAGAAAGTCCCTAGGTTACATAGAAGATTCTCCGAACAGCAAGTCGAAAATCTCATAAACCGGAATGCACATTTGCAAGATAAATACAATCAAATTCAATTGGTCTAGAAGGCCTCGGAAATAGAAATGTGACGAATTTTTCACAAGTGGGACTGAAGAAATTTCGATTTCCTTTATGCTTGGGCAAAATTTTCCAATCTGTTTTGAAACTTGTATTTTGACTTCTACTTACAATAAAAATCGTAAAAACCTCAAAAAAAAATCATTTTCATGTCTCTTTTTTTTACCTTAATTTTCGGTCATTTTTCTCTCAAAATCATGAATTCCGCCAAAAATATGATAAGTATGTAGTTAATACTTTTGAGTTCCGCCAAAAATGTCATAAGTGTGTGACAGGTTCTTTTTTTCCTTTACAAAAAACGTGTAGAATGCTTGCAATGTTTGTGGGTCTCGCTCCATCGTTTTCGCTGCACTTAATGTTCTAGAACTTTTTAGTACATTGTGTTCATACTTTATCTCACGCTCTACCTCTCCAATTGTTAGATCGTGTTACTTCTGCTCCTCAGCTATGTGTACATATGCTACATATATCAGCTTTCTGAAACTTTCGCGAGGCGCATAGGACAGCTGTCATTTTCGAGCCTTTTGGTCAGCATTTGCTTCTTCTGAGTAGCGTAAATTCTTCTTCTGATGCAATGTTTCAGCACTTGTAACAGCTGTGCGGGTGGTCCCTGGCTACAGGCTGTTTTGCTGTCCGTCTATGTCACTCGGCACGAACCTAAATGATTTATAGCTATTCCGGATGAGTCGCTACGCACTAGCGTAAAAGCCTGGGTGATTGCCAGATGGCTTGGAAATTTATGCTCACACACTCTGAATGCTTTGCACTTTCCGAGTTTTCAAATTGGAATTCCTATACACCTTTTTTCGCCTCCAATTTTTGAGTTTGAAAAATGTAGTGCATATTTGAGGTTAAGATTTCAAAATCAAAATTTATTAGCTTTTCAAAAAAGCATAAAAATGCTTCTTTTTCTCTTTCTTACTCATCTATTGGCAACAATAAAAGTGGCTGCCATACGTGAAGCAGTATTAGTTTCAACAATGTGCGGGAAGAAATTTTTGAAATAACAATAAAAATTCGGCGTTTCTGATATGGCTCAGCAGAGAAAAATTGACTTTTTTACTTACTGCTACATCTTAAGAAATTCTTCGTTGACTCCAAGGGGATCATACCTCTTCTATAAGAAAAATCCTACCTAGGCACGGGCGTTTTAACCTTTTGTCTATAGCTGTAAGATTGACTATGCTAGTTCTCTTAATTTTTTTTTGGTAACACCTGGAATTTTTCACAATCTCGTGTTATTAATAATAATATATTTTATTCATTGACAGACAAATCGTGCATGTTTCATGGTAAGTAGAGGTTTATTTATATGAGTAACTTCTATCTTGTATATGAATTTAGGGGTGTTTAGCTGAGTTGAAAATAAGCAAATGAAACATTGACTAGCCAAGTTACTCACATCTGCATGTATGCAGTGTAATTTTTCTTTAAAATTATTCGATGCATCATTTGCGCTAATAATTGCGCATTATACAAAAACGATTGGATCAACATGTTCTGAGCGTTAAGAAATTGTATGCGAACTAGATATTTTAAAATTACTAAGTACCCAAGATTGCTCTCTCAACTTGGTTCACTTGTAGACTCTTTTTCTTCTCGAAAGTCTAATATACAGAATCCATACTTTCTTTTCTGCGAGTGCAAACTTGCAGCTATGAACAGGTCCTCTCAACTGGTTCTGTGAAGAGCTCAAGGTTTTTGTAAGCTAATATTATCTTCTCTGAAAATTTCTTCGTTGCTTTATTTCCATGTGCATGATGTTGATCGAGTGCTGCTCTGGACGGGTATTAATCTTTGTCGGGAAAGGCCCAGCCTGAACCCGCGAACCTCCTCATTATTCCGCTCATTGTTCTCGCTAATCCCATATGTCCACTGTATATTTATAGCAAGTTCGTCACTCCTAATGAAGTCCAGGATAAGGAAAACGTCCCTTATACAATTCATGATTTTGCATGACGATTGGGTTGCTGTCCGTAATTCTTGATGGAACTCGCGATCGTACCGGCTCGAGAGCAGTTTTTTTCCGAACTCCTTCACAAATTAGGCGCACTTGAGAACGAGGCACTTAGCGATCCGTCTTTACAAATCACCTATGCATAAAAAATTCAAGCACCTCAGCCTCTTGCCTTGCCGTGTTTTGCTTTTTACAATTATCTAGTGTTGTCTGGTCATCCTTCGCTATCGTTGTTTGATGCAAAACAACGTTCGGGAAAAGAAATGAGAGGGGATTCATTCGTTGGCGAATAAAAGAAGAGTGCATCGCTCTTTTCTCAGCCCTCCTCATTTCCCTCTCCTATTCGCTAGTCAGGTTCTGTATATAAATACATCATGTTATATCCGTGCTACTCGGTCTGAATGTGTTAATGATGTTAAA